TATAATTACCCCGGGCCTCCAAGTACGCACACCAGCAATCCTCGCACATCACCATCTCATCAATCCCACAACTATGCCACGCTTGATGCTTGCCGAATGCCCATGTGGCCAATTTTAGAACTTGCACATGAGGCATGTCTTCTCAAGGAAGGCATGCTGGCACGGCCTGCATCTTAAAAGCAAAAACACCCTCATTCCGAACCGTTAAGCTCATCTGCATGCCCGTCAGAGCGCCGAGCAACGGAGGATATGTGGTGTAAAGAGGACCTCGTGTGTCTGGGAGGATTCAACACTTTGGCAGGGAACTTTGGGCTGATGCTTCGAGCTCAGTCAGGGGAAGGACTTTAAAGTTTCCTCAAATCATGTTTCCGAAACTGGTTGTTGTGGGGGATTCTCAAATCAATGAACCTCGGTTTCGGAAGCGTGTTCAGTCCCACGACGATTCCTTGAAGGGGTCCATATGCTAAGATGACTCCACATGGTAAATGACCCTCACAAACGCTGTACGGTCCAAACTGTACTTTCTGTCCAGTGGGATGGAAAGTTTCAGGCGTTATGCCGGCCGTGTTTGGTACCGTGAATTTTGTACAGTAATCCCGCCTACACGTGAAATTAATGTAGAGTTTCATCCCTTAAACCCTAAACCCTTAAACCCTAAACCCCTTAAACCCTTAAACGCTAAACCCTTAAACCCTAAACCCTTGAACCCTTAAACCCTAAACCCTAAACCCTTGAACCCTTAAACCCTCAAACCCTAAACCTTTGCATCCATGGAGCTACCTTGATAAGATCTCTGGCCCCTTTCAAAATCATCCACGTGGGATTTGACAGTCCCAGAACTGCACGCAGATCAACTGGGTTACTGTTAAGGAACTTAAATTAAATTACTATATTGGGGAGACCCTATTATTTACCATATATACCCATTATAGTAACTTAATTTAAGTTCCTTAACAGCAACCCAGTCAAGAGCCCAATCCCTACACACTCCAGAATCCAGCAGAAGCAAGTGGATGGTTTTGTTTTCAACCCCGATCAAACTTTGATTGCCTGTCCATCATACTGAACACGTACAAACTTCAGAAGCCCAACCCTCCGCGGTTCAGTTGCCGGTCCTGACCTTGCTGTAGCATTCTGCCATGCCTGCCCATTGTTCATTCGAGCAAACCCCTCCTGCAGTCATTGATGTTATCGTGGTGTTGCTTCGGCAGCAAGGGGTTCTCGTGAAAGATGCAGCTCCTCTGCTAGGGAGGCTGATTGCAGGAAAATTCAAGAACTCGTGGAAATTGAGAATCCAGACTTGTGATGATGGCATGGTTTGAAATTCGTACCCGCTTTCAAGCTGCGTTGGCCATGATTGATTTTGCGCTTGAGGCATGCATTCTCAAGGAAAGCATATCTGCCCAGGAGTAGGTGTTCCATGCCTGCCAGCAAGCATAGCGACCAAGTCGTTGCTGCTCTCGAGAGGTTTCTCAAGGGGCATGGTGGGTCAGTATCCTCCTCGGATGTCGGTGCGTTTCATCAGAAGCACCAAAAGCTGATGAAGCCAATCAGCAGCCTCAAGATTTTCTGCGAGAAACGACCCGAGCATTTTACCATTGTTGATCATGGCCGCGGCCCGTGGACACTGATGCTGGCCCAAAGCATTGAGGAGGCCGCAAATGCGCTGCAAAGATTCATTGCTGCGAGAGGAGGCTCTATACGATCCAGCCAGCTTCATGAATTTCGGGAGCGCTACCCCTCACTGGCAAAGGTGATTTACTCCAAGGGTACATTACAGCAGTTCTGCCAGCAGCATGCCACATTTATAGTGGAGGAAAGCGCAACAATGCCTGGATGTACCATTCGGCTCAGGTCTGCTCAGCCGCACTTGGCACAACGGCTTTCTCAGGTTGCGGGCTCCGAGGGCGAAGGGTCCATCATCGCAGATCTTGCAAGCTTCGTCCGAGAGAACGGCGGTACAGCTTCATCAGAGCAATTCGGGAGTTTTTACAGCAGGTAGCTTGCTTGAAGCTCCAGCTTTCTGTGTTTTCAACGTATCGAAGTACTTGAGCTTGAAGTAGGCGAGGTTTGCCTTACCTGCCTAAAGTTGCGGAACAGATCCCTTTCCCGTCCTTGAGTTCGGCCCTGGTTACCGCATCTCTTCAGAAATTAACCAACCGCAAGGTATCCATCCCACCGCGCATCGATCCCCAACCTTCGAGCATTCTGCGAGAGATATGCCCACCATTTCATTGTTTCGCAGGCCTGCATTGCAGCAGTAGCCATGAAATGTCAAAAGTGTTCGACCTTGGTTTTGTAGCGACCCAGACGTGAAATTGGCCTGGCTTGGGTGCTCTTGGGGTTGGGGATGTCTCTAGACTGTGGTTCATTGTGGCTTTGGAGTGGGGTCCTTGCAGACGCATCGCAACATGACCCTGAGGATGGCAATGCTCCTCACTGGAGAGTGAAGCTTGCAAGCAGTCATTTTGCACAGGCCTTGAAGCCTAAAGATTTGGCTTGTGTCGGAGTTCACCACGTCACAAGTATCAACCCTAAGACCATGACACGCAAAAACCTTGAAGCTCAGTAGTTTTGGGCTGAATCCACCCTTGCAGGGCTCAATATCTCGAGCTGATGCCGGGGATGGCAGGCAAAATTCTGGCACAGGTGTTGAGCAGACAAACTTGCCTGCCGATGCAGATGGTGTCCTGCCTATCTTGGTTACACGAGAGTTTTTTTAAGTCCCTCTTGTAGGAGGCTAGATGAACAATTCAGCTGGTACCTTTCACCTGGAGTGCGCACCAGCGCGAGCCAGCGACAAAGTCATTGGGCTGAAGGTTGGCAATGCACTGTAGCAGTGCATGAAGACAATCGACATGATTGGTCTGACGTAACAAGACGTCCGAAGCGATCACAAATTACCCCTTCCAAGCCAACGTTCTCACAGCAACTACCGCAATGGTTCTGTGACCAACATACTTGTGTGAAGCAGAAGCAAAGGAAACACCTGTGAGTATCACGGCTACCGAGCTAACGGCAGTGGCAACAATGAACTCAAAAGGCAACGACCGCAGAGATATTGTCGATGACGAGAAAAAGAGAAATGAAAGGATGTGGCCACGAACGCATCGCCATTGACAAGAGTATGAGTTGCAGCAACAGCAACACCATCAAAACTAGTTGAACTGAGAACTCGCGAATGTTTCTGGTAAAGCGATTTGGGGAGCCATCGCCATGACTCTTAGGCGAAGACTCGGAAAGCAGTTCATCCGAATGTGGCGACAGAGAGGTGAATAGCTCCTTAGAGTTGTCCGTCGAGCAGATTCAGTGGGCGCATGACTCCATCAAGGTTCTTGGATTGATGTGGTATTTTCCTACTGTTAAATGGAAACTACTATAGTATAACAGGGTATATATTGGGGTTATATTGGGGTTAGGATATATGGTATTTTCCCTAAATAGGGGGACCCCAATATAGACCCCAAAATAATGTGACCCATATTGTTGGAATCTAAATAGTAGCTTCCATTGTCGTTTCCATTATCCTTACATAACCTTGTAGCCTTGACTCTGAATCTAAAAATGAGGGATTTCCCCAAATTAGGGGTCCCTTTTTGGGGGTCCCCGTAATACGGATTATAATATGTTGGGGTCTATCTTGGGGTCCCCCAATTTTGGGAAACTACCAATTGTGGAGTGTGAAAGCCGGTTTGAAAATTTGTGGCTTTCGTTCACGAAGGATTTTTCTATTGATACTGGGAATTCTAGCGCCTGAACCTCCAGAAAAACTCGTCAGTATTCAGCGGATACACTGGCACTGTTCTTAGCAGGTTGCGTTGTTTTAGCTATTCGGTTTTTGATGGCACCGTGGCTGAGGTTCGATTCCGAGATGGAATGTTGTTGGTGGATACGCTGAAGCAGCTGGCTGATGGAAGATTACAGCCATCTCAACTGCCTACATTCTCGGTGTGGCAGCGAGGAAGTGTATGGTTTGCAGTCACCGGCAACCGGCGTCTTTGGGTCCTTCGCGAGCTGGCGGCTGTCTTGGGCACCACGATTACTGTGAAGGTCCGGCAGCTCAGTCGAAGCGTGCACTTGTCTTCCTGGTTTCGAGGCATGTTCACAACCACCTGCGATGGTCGTACTGTTCACTTTCGTGCCAAGCACGGCCGTTTTCCCAGTATGCAGATGGCGATGATGAGTCTCAGCCGTGGCCTTCCAACAGCAAGGGAGATGTTGGTGGCGCGGGAGCTCCAACAGTCTTCAGGCTTACTCTCGCTTCAGTCACTGGAACTCAAATTCTCGGGCCAGTTCTCTGTGAGGGAGCTCGTGCAGTCAAAGCCCGACATTTTTTGGATGAACGCCTCAGGTCAGACGCGTTGTGAGTGCACAAGCAACAAAGTGAGATAGGCCATTGCCAGAACCTCCTTCAACCATATGCACGAAAATTTCCTGTGCAAAGTGACAATGTGACCCCCAGGTCTTGTGACCTTCACGCCAGTGTTGACCCACAAGGAGTCAGCCAAGGGCGTTACTCCCATCGGGAGTGCACCTCAGTCAAAGATGGTATTCCTGATGAAGTTTCTCTCCTAGCGTGCGTTTTTGGCGTACAATTGTACAAGACGATGTAGGAGTGCTTGCTGCTTTTTCAGCGCCCTTTTCAGCGCCCTTAACCTGTTCCTGTCAGAGGTGTTGAAATGTTGAACAACTTCCTGTGCTGGAGCTGTTCCTCTAAGCATACAGAGCATAGGCACAGGGAAAGAAAGACCTTTGTGCCATGGATCTCTTTCCTCAGGACATTTACCTACATTCTACGATGTTACAAGGCTGTCTTGGCACCACAATGGAGGTTTTGCTCTTCTCCAGCTGCCGTCCAGCCATTACTTTAGCCTCCCTACACATCATGTCCTCTTGTTATCTGGCCGTCATGACCTATAGGAGGCTCTCGCCTCTTCACACGTTTGCCGTGAGTGCAGAACCCCGTGCTCGGGTACTGCGCACCACCATTGAGTGGAAGTAAAGAAGAAGGAAGAAAGACAGAGAGCAATGTTCGCCATACCAGTGTGAAGTGCGCAGGCACCTGGCAGCAGCCTTCCCCGAGATGTGAATCAAAACCCGCAGCAGATGAGCAGCAGCACCGCAGCGAAGGCTGCCCCGATTGATCTAGCCTGCACAGCATGCGTAACGTCACATCAGCTATGCTCAACATTTTCTTAGGTAGTTAGTGGGCACGGGTCCTTGTTCGGGAGTATATTGGGGACTACAATAAGCTACTGTCCACCCTTAATGGTCCGCTGGTAACCCTTATGTTGAAAGCAGCTCACATAGTTGGGTGACAATGTCACACAATTCCCTGCATTTCACCAGACTTATGAAAGGTCCTCAGCGGCTCCCTCCAATGGGTCCCCAAGAAGGCACCACCACTGCCGCCACCTGTTGGATCTCACGATGTTGCTGCAGCAGATCCATGGGCGACCGGGCCTGACCCATGGAGTCAGAGCTTGGATACCAAGAGGATTTCCTCGTCTGGCAACCTTGCAAAACCGCTGCCTTACAAAGCTCCGCCTTGGAAGCAACGACCAGGTGAGGATCCTTGGGCAAATGGTAGCGACCCATGGTCATTGGCCAAGCCGATGCCTGAGAAGAACTTCATGTGCCTCGGCTCTTCACAACAATGATTGATTTATGGTTAGGTTAATTGAGGTGCCCATCACAAAAGGGCGTAAACAGCTTCTTGTTAGAGCGAATCGCCAAGAAGTCCCCCTCGGCCATCTCCATCTACGCCTCCAAGTATGCCATCTCCAATCCCCGTCGTCCCAAAGCGGCCGCCACCGCCTGTGCCCAGCTCATCCGAAGAGTCTGACAACGGTGCAGCCTGCTCGGAAGGCGAGCCGAATCCCCCTAGACAGCTGGAGCAGGAAAAGGACACTTGGCGGAAGTTAAGAGCATGATGCATCTATGCATTTGGGCCAAGCAAGCCTTGTCTCTAGCGCAAAGGCCCTAGCTGATTGTCTACGACGCCAATGCCGGCAAATGTACTTGTAAATCATGTGCCCAAGGATGCCACAGAGAGTGTTTCCTGGTGTCAAAGTACTACGCACAATAATGCAGGTTGTGCCGTCCAGAGGTCCATGCCTGCTAGCATCATGTCATCGCAGCACTTATGGGCCATCGAAAAGCTACGCATCATGGGATGAGCACGCAGGTCAAATTGCAGCATTCCAGACCGTGAAAGTGTAGAATACTCTGCGTGGGCTGATGATTTGCGCACCTTGCTTTGCCAGCAAGGCCGATGTAAACATCATCCAGGTGCTTGAGCAATCTCGCCTGCATGGTGGATTGGACTCTGAGTGGACTAGTTCATTGGCTGAGGCTCGACCCATGTCGCTGTTTAAGTTCTTCCAGATTGCGGCAGAATCCATAGACTTGCATATGGGAGTTTCCCCTCGTTCTGGAAACCCCACGATATCCTTTTCAAATTGCCCTTAATTGGAGGCCATCAAAGGGACCGTCAGGGTGAACGGTCGCATGGAGGCAACTCTGAGACGCCATGGATGGCTGGGCAGCCATTTCTCTTCACCTCCAGTACTGGACGAGCTCATCACAGACTTGTTGCGCTGTGAGGAGGCAATGGCCTTGTCAGCAATCTGGTTTCCCGTAGCTGCCATATTTTCCTTCAGAGAAATGGGAATTGCAACAGCTGCCAATTGCCTTGCAAATCGACTTGAGGGCCAGTTCTCGATTCGCAAGCATCAGGCCAGTCACCCACTTCACTGACCCAAGCAGATGCCACGTCACACGATGGGAGAAATGAGGAGGTTCGTGTTCCTGCCAGTGCTTTCGGCAGCCCAGATTTTTGAGTCCTCAGTTACACGGAACAGGAGCTCTTTAGGGCATGGAAAAGTTGTTTGCACAACTTGGAATCCAGCCACCCCAACACAAAACCAGTACTTGGCTCCATGCATGTCTTGGATATCAAACTGAGACTGGCCGTGCTTAAAATGAGTTACTTGAATCATAGTAGAGGAACCTCCAATGATGATGGGAATCTTCATCATAATACCCAGGACACAAGCAGCTCCAGAGTGGGAAATATATCTTGTTGCTAGCATTGTCAGTAGGGCAAAGCTGTGGCAGTAAGAGTGAGAAGAACAGCATCCATTCTGATGACTATTTGTACGGTCTGCATGATAGAATTTCTGCGCCTTCTTGTTCCGATCATCAGGCTGCTACCATTGAATTTATTCTGAGCATCCATAGTGTTACTATGATAGGTGCTTCTGGTGCGCTGAGAGGCTTCTTCGCAAGAGGACGCTCGGATTGTGGACGACGATCAACCATCATGCGAAGATGCTTGGCCTGAAGCAACCATTAGATGGGATTTCTGTGAAGGGGAGGGCCTTTGTTTATTCGGCATCGCTGTATCAGGAACCCTTTTCAGGCAATGCTTTCACGGCAGCTTCTTCGCTCAAATTCTCGTGTGGAGAAATGTCCCCTACTTCACCCTTCTGAGAAGTCTAACCCATATTGATACCACCAGTCTCGTCAGGCTGGTAGAAGTTTCCTGAAGACTTTAGTTGGTTAGGTATTTGAGGGCTGCCAAGAGCATGTTTGGTCCACGATTTCTGCAGCTTATGCAGAAAGGAATGATTCATGGCCAACTTAATGCCTTGCTACATATGTACGTAGCAGCACGACGTTACACCATGATTGGCGGTGACTTTGTAGGGTGCCACGGCAGGCAGCATGTGAATGGGTAATTCTGTGTCACTGTGCATATACCAAAAACCGCGGCGTTTCGAGGTCTTTGTACACCGCAGACCTCAGCCTGACCTTCCCCAACATCTTTAAAGTTCAATGAAGCACGCGAGGAGATTGATGACGATGACATGGAGCTTTCCGATCAGCCCGAAACTGTGCCGGTCAATTCCTGGCAACAATGGTACGGCGGACGACGTCCTGCCTGTGCCTCTGCTGCAACTATTTTTTGGAAGCTGGCGAGTGGAGGAGTCAGACCATCACATCCACAGCTCTTCGAGCGGCAAGCATAGATTCACCATTCTGACTCGTGAGGTCATTTTGTCGTCAATGTCCCTTTATGGTAAGTAGTGCTATTGTTGCCATGCGCTCTGTCCGTGACTGCACATACCCTGAGGCAAACTGGGACAGGAACTTTCCGAGCAAAGCTTTTGCTTTGGCATCGCTCCAGAAGACGAAGCCAACACCAGCTGAATTGGAGTATGGCTGGATTCTGCGTAAAGCTGGCGGAGAGCTTCCTCTGCAGACTTTGGTTGACCTGACACGGAAAACACAATACCCATGCAACTTCAAGCCAAACTACTTGAAGAAGAAGCACACGCTGTTTGCAGAGAAGAACGGCATTGTCTCTCTTGCTGCTCCCACCGCTCTGACTCTGACGCAGGCAGAGACACGTAAAGCAAGCCAGGACAGCTGCCCGATAGAATATCGAGTGTTGACAGCAGGCGGCTGAACTCCACGAATCCAGCCTGTTGAAGCCTGTTGTTTGCAGGAGCCGTTAGCTTCATTGCAGCCGCAAGCCCAGCCAAGTGTCTCGCTGATTTCAGCCCTTTTTTTTCTGAGGGAAAGCAGTCTTGAAAGGGAGCTGTTAACTAAAGGAGATCCATTTCTGGGCCTCCACGCTTCAAATAACGTTGGTGCTGTTTGCGGGGTCTCCGGATCCTGGGCATGCCATAAAGTTGCACGCAAAGTCACGAAGTCAAAGACCTGTGGTTCTCTTCGAAAACTGTAAGCAATTTGTTCGGCAAGTTGCCAGAGGCCCCCTGGTTCACAGACTGATTCCGTACTGTTACAGCTTCTGCACAAATTCCATGACATGCCACATCTGCGCTGTATTTCCAGGTCGATGTGCATGCTGCAAGCCCTCATCAAGAGGGTTCAGTGAAACTTTCCCTTCAATCTAGCCATGTTGGACGCATTTTTGCAAGACCGTTCCAGCTTTTGGTTCTTTCCGACAAGAGCTGTTGCCTTCTAAGGTGGCCAACCGACTCCTGCCTCAGAATCCAAAAGCCAGGCAGCGCTTGCACCGTCGGAGGCATTTGCCAGCAGAAGCTGAAAGTAATTCGGATTTTTGGGGGTACGATGTTCAGACTTGAAAGTATGTTCGGAACGCACTAGAGCTTCAGAAATTTCGGCAATCCGCAGGCAGGACGTTACCCGAGCCCGGCCTTTGCTGCATTCGCGTCGCATGCTCGCCTGGCGCCAACGAAATCGGATTTGACAATCGGCTGGGCTCTGCAGAGGTTGCTGGATGGAGATTCAGCAACAAGCAACTTTGTGAGTAGTGTGTCGATTTTGTGCCAATCGCACCTGTCCATTCCAGGCTGTCTGGGGAGGCAAACCGCTTGACCCTCAGGAAGATGTGTCCAGGAGTTCCAAAAAGCATAACCAAAAGCCATTATCTCAGACGCAAGCCGCATTTGTACACTGTGAGCATGGGCATCGTGCGCTTTGCGCCTCCGCCGGCCAACAGCCAGTCATCCAAACTCACCACCTCCAAGGTTCAGGAGCGGGGCTAAGGGTATTCAGAAACAAAACAAGAAGCTGATGGTTTTGAATGAGATCAGAGGGCAAGGGTCTCCTGCTTAGGGGTTCTGAGTTCAGTTTAGACGGTATACCTCGCTGCAACAGGAGCCGGGTGCAAATCAGCCCGCAAAAGCAGCACATGCAACTTCTGGGCCAGCGCCAAGCGTGGAAGCTGCTGCCTTTGTTCAGCCCTCGAGCGCTGCAGCGGCGGCGCCAAGCATATCCAATGTGCACGTGCCTAGGCAAAATCATGGTGCTTGTGAAGTCGTGATTGCTTGTTCTACCAGTCTCTAAGCACCACAGATGGTTTCAACTGTTTGCTAGGGGATGCTAGGGGGTTTTGGTGCTACGAAACCTGGTTGTCCTTTGCCCGTGGAAGTTGCACTAAAGGCACAAGCTGCACAGGGCTTCGGGCCGCAATGGTCACAGAAAGTGCCCACAGCAATCAAGCACGAGCTGCAGCCTTGCGCGTGCGACTTGAACGGTGCCCGGATCTGCATTCTTAGCCAACCTGAGGGATTTGTCGATAATTCATATTCATGTTACGGTAGCTCGGATTGAGAAATTGATTCACTACATGTTCTGTAGGTCAAAAGGCTGGTTGCACCCAGGCCTGCTGTCCAAGCTGCCGTCCAAGCTGTTCGAGACATTGGAGGTTAAGGAGTATGCACGGATGTTGGGCAGCTTCAGAGCACAGCGGCTGATCTTACAGGTGGGCCATCCCCCTCAGGTTGCTCTTCCCTCTGGATAGCTTCCAGCCACATACCTTCCGCAAGTGCCCCTTTCACGGCAAGATTTAGTGGACCTTCTGGAGCGGCTTGGGATGAAAGAGGATGCTGCTGCAGCTGCTGGCATCCGTGTTTTACCCGGTATGCTTCACCGGGCAAGCCTTGGCTATCAAGGATCCAGCCTTGATTCGGTCGTGCTTCATGTAACACGGCTGCTGCCAGGCAGGGACTGCATGCGGGCATCACTATGCATCACTGTTGAAACTTCGCTGCATGAAAACGTTGAACATTGAAACCCCACCTGCCAGGTGTGAGCCAGCCCATCCACCAGCAGACGCACTTACATCAGGGTTCTGTGCTTCTGCTTGGTCCGATCAGCAGCGGGAAGACTACGATTCTCCGAGACCTCGTCGCAAGCCTCACTCTCCAGCACCAGGCTTGGCTCTGAACCTTTTCTGTTTTGCGCTGCCAAAGGGCAAGTAAACAGGTTGTGCTCGTGGATTTCATGGCAGAGCTGCATGCCTCCGCCTTCCACCCAGCCCGGATGCTAGCTTCAGCTGATGATTGCCCGCTTTGCCTAGGGCTTGGATTCAGTGATTCTAAACCAAAACAAAGATCTACTTTATTGAAAGAACAGCAACGTGTAATTATCAGGAAAACAGGCAATTCTAGTTTGTCAGGCAGATCATGAAGCAATGAGTAAGTTGGCTGTGTCTTGGCATGGGTGCTGCATGGCGCCGTCCTTGCAGCCTTGTGATTGGATTGCCTACATAGACAATGTATAGTCCTGATGAAGCTTTGTGTGGAGCGGACTAAGGACGATCGTCCCCACAGAGCCCTTGGACCGGGTGCCTTTCGTTCAAAAAGTCATCCAAGAGCAGAGTCTGGAGGTTGCTGGGACTGATCACCTTTTCTTGTAGGGTTAGTTTTCGGATCAGGGTTTAGGAATCAGTTTTATGGATAGCTTCTGTTTCCTGGCTCTCTTGCTCCCTCCACTCGCCTCCCTCTCCCTCGCCTCTCTCTCCCTCCCTCCCTCCCGTCTCTCTCTCTCTCTCTCTCCTTTCCTGTGTTTGCTAGCTTGCTTTTTAAAGAGGTTATCTTACTGGTTCTTTGTAGGGAATACCGGAATGCAATCCTTATATGCGACTAAGAGCCAGTAAGTTACTTGCGAGACCTGATGGCCCTTAGGTTTTGGAACTGTTTTTTCCTTTTCGGTGTTGCCCTACCGGTGTTTTCTAAGGATGTCTGGAGACGAACTGAAATCTTACTGTCCTTGGGATGAACATAGGTTCTGTGTTATAGGGCATTGCAATTTCAATTTTCGTGATGGCTCTTCTTATCACCCATACCCGCAAATCATCAGGAGTTTGCAAAAACAAAACATGTATCTTGTCAGCATGCGTGACATGCTGAAGCTTGACTGCTGTCATTGTTCTTCTTCATCACCTCAACGAATCTGCGTCGACGATCATCACCATGGCGAGCTGGCAAGATCACAATTAGGATCAAGGAATGTAGTAAATGTAAGAGGTTTCAACTAGAGGGCAAGCCCGTTCGAACCGCGGTGGGGCATACATGAGCTAGCGTTCAGACCTGTACTGTTGGCTGCCACAGAACCTGTTGCCGCCGCCTTGCCAAGAATCGCGCTGTCCTTGTCATACAGGATATTTATTCATCCCTTGTTGAAACATGTCTTTGCAAACAGCGGAAACAGGCACACAAGGGCTGAGAGCATTTTGATCTTGACTCTTGTGCTTCTACAACGTTCATCAGGTTGTTGCCCTCAGCTTCTTGGTTGCTGGTTTCAGCTCGAAATGTCTTCATACAGCTTCACGTTGGCAAAGCCTGAAAAAAAAAAACAAACAACCAGAGCCACTGCGTGAGGACTCTAAAAGATGCCGTTCTCAAAGCTGTTCGAAAGATATCGTTGCCGCCGTGCGCAGGTTCTTGTAGCTGAATTTCTTGAGCCAGCAGATGCAGTGCAGTGCGCACAGCTATGTTCCTGCGACAGCAAGCAGATTACAGAGATCTCTTGGAGAATAGAAATCCCGTACATCCCGAACCTTTACTTTGTTAGGATCTGGAGTTGCGCAATCTCCGAGGGGGTGGGGCTCTGGTGCTTTTGCGTTGTATCTTAGGCCTTGGTGCAGGCGTTCAGCTTGTGGCTTCACTACGTGGTGCCTTGAGTAATCTCGTTGACGCTTTCCTGTGTCAGGGCCTCAGGGCTTGCGGAAAGTGCTTTTCCCGTGTTGCGAGTCAGAGAGCAAAACAACTTTACAAGAGTTTCCTAAGTTCATCGCTTGCCACATGCACCCAGGCCCTTCCTCCTCATATCAAGATGTATTAGTTGGCTATGACCTTCCCTCGCAGGTCTCGACAATGGATGTCCTGGCTGCTTCACGTTCCCCTTTGCCACTGTAGTGGCTCTCCGCCGACAGTTGGACGCAATGCATCTGGGATATTCCTGGAAAGGATGTCGTGCCTGTGTGACAGGCTTACCCAACAGAGGATTCAAGGATGTTGTTCTTGTCCCTTTTATAGGCGGAGCTTGTTTTGCTTTGAAACTTGAAACCCCTAGTCACTCGCCTAGTCAGTAGCCTTAGCCCGAGTTCCTGGACACCAGGCATGTTTATACACCTGCTGGCGCCACTGTATGCTGCCTGGATGCCAGACTGTGACAGGAGCCCATTGGAAGGAAGTCTTTCCAGAAGTGAATAAAGGAGAGGGCATTTGAGTGTACGATAGGCGGAACGATGGAGATTCGACAGGGATCAAGTCCCTCATTCCCTGCCAATACTCCGGGTTGCTGTTAAGGAACTTAACTTACTCTATTGGGGAAACCATATTAATTACTACACATACCCATAATGGTAAGTTAATTTAAGTTTCTTAACAGCAGCCCAGTAATAGGCAAGCAAGCCATCTGGAGATTTTCACTGTCAGGCCCTAGACCCCATTGCGAGCAGCCTGAGTTGACGAAAGAGATATCTATCACAAGTTGCAAGTTCCCATGCTTATGGAAATTCTCAAGTCAGATTGCACCAATCGTGTGTGCTTTCATTTTCTGGCGAACTGAAGTACATGTAGAAAAACAGCTGAGCGATAGTGATGGCAATGATGGCGGCACTCTCATAGTAAAATAAACCTTAGCAGCCTTCATCCACTACGCTCAAGCATACATACATATGGATCTATCGATCTATGTCATTTATGTAGGAGCCTATCTGTATGTCTACATTTTCATATAGCTATATAGATATCTGTAGCCCCTCGCTCAGGTTCCATGTCTGCTGGACGGCGGACGCACTGCCACGCTCACCACTTGCCAAATAGCCCTGCTTTGCTACCGATGGCGGTAGTTGCCCTGATACTGGCCTGAATCCTTTGAAAGGGAATGTGTGCGCAGCAGAACCACATTGGAGAATTGAAGACCCAGATGTCCATTTTCCTTGAAATTCATTCATGCTTAATGATTTCGGAGGGCTTCTTGTAGAGAGCCGGTACAGGCAGGTGTAGAAGGATGCAAAATCGCAGACTCAAATCCAACAAAATGGCGGGCCCCTCAGCTATGAGCGGATTGTACTAGCTCAAAAAAGGCCATATTTGGCAATGTCCCAAATCCCATGCCTCCAGGTGTGTTCCCCTCCTGCCTCCTTGCGCACTGGCATCTGAGACGCCACTAAGGAAGGGCCTGCACATTCCGGAGGAAGCAGAGGAGATGAAGTGAGCGGTAGTTTTTCTCCAGCAGGGCTCCTACCATGAACTTCAACATCCGCAGCATTCTGGTGTTGTATCATGGTGCTTGTTGATGAAACAGGGCCTTCAGCCACATGCTTTGCTGGTATTCTGTAGATTTTCCCTGATTGCGGCTCTAGATGGATCCTTGGCGAGGTGAGTAGTTTGACCACCTCACTTTGTCCAGGGCAGCGCTGTCAAGTGCAAGTGCGACTTCCAAAAGGCGGCTCCCAGAATTCTGAGCGCGAGCTTTTGTAAATCTTTTTGACCCGATCCCTTGTGTGGCCGGTAACAACAGGCATAATGACACTTGCTCATATCCAACACGCCCGCAGACCCTGAAACTGTCGATTACCATGCAATGTGAACTCACCCAATCCTTGAATCTCGGGATGTTTTGAAATGGCGGACCCGCACGGCCCATGTTCAAAGATAAGTGTTCTGTCTGTTGGCTTCCCCTGGAACATAGCCAACTTGCATTGAGCTCCGTTAAGTGCCAGCGATGCCTGGAGCTCGCTACATGCTTAAGTACGCACGTAATTCAACAAAATGACCATCACTTCAGGCCCCACGGTTGAAAGACACAGCCTGGTCACTGACTTTCCCGGCCTTGTAAGGACAAGTCTTGGCAATCCCCCGCCAGACTGCAAACCCTTGCAGAATCATAAGGATAGTAAACACGCCGAAAAGGTACTCGCTTGAATCAACCAATTGTTTTATAGGGTCTTTGCTGGATCATACAAGGATTTCCCAAAGTATGCCATATCTGCCAAGGAGATCAATGATAAGCCCTCCAACCATAAGCCTGCTGGGTTAGACCATCACCCCTCAAGCTGCGGGTTCCGGGCCCGGCCGTTCTTTAATCGGTCAGCCTTGGCTGCTGCAAGCTCCTTGGAAGCACAGGGTTCGCGGGTTGGATGGACTTTGGGGTTCAGGCTTCAAATTTAAGCGTTATGGCTTCAATTTTACGATCTAGACACGTTTGTTCATACGGAGCAGTTGTCAAAATGACAAAGTCCGTAGCGCGACAATTCACCTGGTACATTTCAACGAGTTGCCGCCGTAGATATCGGATGTGTATTGGAATCACTGGTACATGTCAAGGTTGCATGAAAGCTTTGTAGTACTGAAAGGGAGGTCGGATTTCCGGTCCCCATCAGGGTCTCTTTTCCGGGACCCTCATGAGGCAAGGCTGTATCTGGAATCCGTCTTTCAACCTGGATCATTCGAGGAATACAAATCTTGCCGCTGTGGCTTGAACAGGCACACATCGGGCAGCTAGTATCGTAGGCAACTTCGGGAGTACCCAGGGTATATATAGGGGTCATATAGGGATAATGGAAAAGAAAATGGAAACTACAGGTATTATAGGGGTTATACAGGGGTTATGTCGGAGCTATATATAGTGTAATTTGAAAATTTCTTTTCCTACACTCCCCCAAACAAACATGGAAACCCACATAGTCCCCTTTTAGAAGGACTGTAGTCTTTAGGGGGCCCTTTTTGAGTTTGCAACTTAGTTGCCGGGAGTGTAACAGAAGATGCATCAAGCAAATCTAAATGGATGGCAAGGTCCCAAAAGTTATGGTGGGGCAAATTGTGATGGAGCAGCCACATAATGGAGAGTGCGATTGTCAAGTAGCAGTCTGAGGCCCCCAGATGATTGACATCGTCTGAAAGGCACAAAATCAGCAAGTCTCAGCCCTCAGGTTATCCGACAGGATCTAAAACCCAGACTACAATAGACTACCTAGCTGTGGGGCCGTGGACCCACTACACTCTAATCCCCCCAAATCAAAGCGGCCTTCATTTCAGCAGCCAACTCCCTTCATTCACTTCCATAAGATATTCAAAAACACCTTAACTGACGGAGCGCTACCCCGCAAGCTTGCCAGTGTTGATGCGCCTCGCTGTGGCATTTGCAACGGCGTCACTTTGCCATGCCAACATTCTGCACTTGGTGCAGCTGTCATGCTTGGGGCGCTGTAGTGAGTTAGCCAATTCCGGGTTCACGGAGTGGTGATTGAGGTTCTGTGCGTTTGCAGACAGGTAGGTACAAAAGCGATGCACGAGCAGAATGTTGTTCTTGGAACTCCGCAGCTTGGAGTCAAGCTCTGTATTTCAATGCAACTCATGTCATTGAGACGGCAAGGTAAATTCATAGCTTTACGGGTAATTGCAGTCG